TACGAAAAGAAAAAAATACTAATACTCAAACTTTCACATGAAATTTTAACAAGAAAAAATTGATTTCCACTTTTTTTATTGGGTGCTTATTGTTTACAAATTTTACTAGTATTATATTTCTTAACTTGTCATAATTCTACTAATATCATATACACATATCATTTATATTTAACTTTGAATTGTGAAGGATTGTTCTTATTTGTATGATTGCTTGTAATTATAAATCAACTCCTAGTTTATCTACTAACTATAATATCCTAGCAGGGTATATATAATACATGAACAAAGAGAGTTATATGGTCTCTTATTGAAAAGACAATGCACAACCTGATTTTCTAGCAAAATTGATATATATATATATATATATATATATATAAAAGAAAATATTACCGTTATTGGATATAATATTTAAGTGCATTCAGAACCTCTTTTATATCATGTAATTATCAAACATTATTTTATGCCATATTTGATCATGAAAAAATGTATCCGACCGTATCTAGATATTACTTACCTACTGGTACACAAACTCTTCACATCCTTTAAATAACTACTACGAATTGTCCACAATTATGAACTACTCACACATATTTAGCTTTAATTATTATTATTTTTTTAACAAAATATAGAGACGTAAATTGTGTTTTTTATGCCAGTCTATGTCAGTTTTATACAATAATAATAGTGTACGGGTAGGGGCGTTTAGCCACCCTCTTATCGGTTATCGAGAGACCGAATCAGGTGGCCGATTGCCAATCGGTCACCTGGTTCGGCTTATCTCTATTAATTATCTTTAATAAACCATTAAAGGTTAATTAGCTGATTAAGAAGTATTACCTGATACGGTAAGTTTTTACAGGGCCCATAAGGTCCAGGGCCCACGATTGTCAGTATAAATAGCTCAGGTCAAAAGGTAACGTCACTGTTCATTAATTACCCTAGATATTCGTGCTTGTCCTGACTTGAGCGTTGGAGTGCCTTTTGCAGGTACCAACCCTTTCACTAGCGTATCGGATTGGAGTTCTCGTTCGGCCTTTGGACTACTAGAAGACTTAGTGTACCCATCAGACAGGTACAAATAGTAATTAGTTTTCACCAATCATAGGCCTTAAAGAATGTTTGTATTAGCGTTCATTCCAGCTAAAAGGCCCAAACAATGAGTTCGATTTTACAGGGACGGATTTACGGGTGAATTCTCTCAAGGACCACTTATATAAGTGGTATATGGGAGCACCATGAATATTAACTATAAGATCAATCTAATCTAATACAATATTATGCACCCTATCACACAAGATAAAAATTTCTGAATTTTTTACTGAAATTATTTTCTTTTTTTTTAAATTATCCAAAAAAAGCACGTGTTACGATGCACGGACTTAACTGTTATTCACGTTCGGAATGGGCCGTTCTGATTTCGAAACGGGCCGTTTCAGATGAAACAATAACACATGAATAATGGATCAGAACGGGCCGTTCCAGATGAAAAAAAACACATGACAAATGGATCAAAACGACCCCAGAACGGCCCGTTCCGAAATCAGAACAGCCCGTTCCAGATTCAAAAATAACACATGACTAGTTAAACCAGAACGGGCCGTTCTGAATTCGGAACGGGCCGTTCTAACTACATATTTGTCATAAGAATTTTTTTAAGCAAAATAATATTTTTTTTTCATTCTACTAAATTACATTTAAAATTTAAGTATAATTTTTCAATTGATAATGTTTTTCTATTAGAATTAGAGGCTTACATTAATTATATGCGTAAATTTCTAATTCTAATTAGAAAATAACACCAAACAAAATTTTCTATTATAAATATAATTTTCTCTCATTTAAATCATTGCAAAAATTTGTTAGTTTTAATTTTATATCTCAACATTTTCCTCTTAAAAAAATGATGTTACCAAATATTTTTAAATTTGATTTACATTAGTTTAATTGCTTTTAAGTTGCATAGACTTTCGTGACTTTGTTGTCAATGCCACAAACATTAGGCATTGATTAAATGTCACCTAGTGTGAGGAGAGATACTCATTTTCTGTTTGGATTTGCATTGGGTGCTAATGTATGTGGCGTTAAACATAACTTAGACAAAGGCCCTCTGCCTATTAGGGTCGGGTTTTGTCATACCAGACACGAGAGAATAGGAGACTCTTTGCCTCAATGACATTAGGTGCGGGTAATTTGGTGCTAAGCGTGAGTGAGATATGAAGCCTCTTCCTCAATGACATCAAGCATCCTATGAATGAAGCCCAAAACTAGGCCTAACAAGCTTAAAACCCAAAAAGTCTTATACTAAGGCCCATAATACAAGACCAAACAATATAAACTCCTATACTACCAAATATATGAGAAAGGTGGTCAACCATGTAAAATCCAAGTAAAGAGAACCCTAGGCCCACCAAACCCATTGGACTCACTAAGCTCAGAAGCAATCAAAAGCCCAAAGGGCCATGAAATCCAAAACTAGGCCCAATAAGCTTAAAACCCAAAAAGTCTTATACTAAGGCCCATAATACAAGACCAAACAATATAAACTCCTATACTACCAAATATATGAGAAAGACAGTCATCCATGTAAAGCCTAAGTAAAGATAACCTTAGGCCCACCAAACCCATTGGGCTCACTAAGCTCAGAAGCAAACAAAGCCCAAAGGCCCATGAAGCCCAAAACTAGGCCCAATAAGCTTAAAACCCAAAAAGTCTTATACTAAGGCCCATAATACAAGACCAAACAATATAAACTCCTATACTACCAAATATATGAGAAAGACGATCATCCATGTAAAGCCCAAGTAAAGAGAACCCTAGGCCCACCAAACCCATTGGGTCACTAAGCTCAGAAGCAAACAAAGCCCAAAGGCCCATGAAGCCCAAAACTAGGCCCAATAAGCTTAAAACCCAAAAGTCTTATACTAAGGCCCATAATACAAGACCAAACAATATAAACTCCTATACTACCAAATATATGAGAAAGGTGGTCATCCATATAAAGCCCAAGTAAAGATCCCACTCGTCATGTGTTTTTTTTTCATCTAGAACGGGCCGTTCTGATCCATTATTCATGTGTTATTGTTTCATCTAGAACGGTCGCTCTGAAATCAGAACGGCCCGTTTCGAACGTGAATAGCAGTTGCGTTTGTGCATCGTAACATGTGCTTTTTTGAGTAATTTAAAAAAAAATCAGTAAAAAATTCAGAAATTTTTATCCTGTGTGATAGGATGTATAATATATTATTAGATTAGATACATCTTATGGTTCAAATTCATGGTGTACCATGCACCACTTGTAAAAGTGGTCTATCAGAGATGCCATCCGGATTCACGTTATTCATTTGTTCCCACTAACTCTTTTGGTGTTTACTTATATATATATATATATATATATGTGTGTGTGTACACGTATGTATTCCTACTAAAAACTAATGTCTTCATTTTTTTTATTTTTTATTTTGTTAAAAAGTCAAAATTAATTTATTAATTTAAGTATTTATTTTATATAATATTAAAATTAAATCAGTAAAAAGATTTTAGAGTTGATCCAAGAGTAAGGTTATTGAAGTTCAAATTTTAGGCTTATTAACTAAAAGTTATTTGCTAATAGGTTTGATAAAGAAAAAAAAAACTACATAATTATAACTTTATAACATATATAAAGATAATAACCTGGTTTAATGTAGATATTTTTTTAGATAATTTTATTTTTAAAATTTTAAATAATAAAAAAATATTTAAAATTAGATATTTTTATAAAAATAAGATTTAAATATAAGATTTTAAAGTTTGAAGATCAAATATAATACTAATTGATATGATGAATATTACTAGTTTTTAAACATTTTTATTAAATAAAATATAAAGGTAGAAAATATTTCAATGCTATTAGTATTGATAAAAGGGCTCCACATATAACTATTTTATTTCAAGTATAAAAGTTTTTCTCAAATTTTGTTTTAGATCATTGTTGAACTAGTCTTGAAAAAGATGATGATTAACTCAAGTTCATATTATACTATTTTTAAAAGTAAAAAAAGTTTAAAATTTTGATATGAGAAATAAATTATTAAATGATTATTTAATAACTTACGTAAAAAGAGAAATTTTTTAAAGCATTAAAAATGAAAAATCATTCAATATTTCAAAATATGAAATCCCATATAAAATAATTGTGAGACATATTTAGATTTTAATTTTTTTTATTAAATTATATATTTAATGTTATAAATTTGTATATAAATAGTGTTCTCATTAGCTAAATTTTTTAAATATGTTACTGCACCTAAAATTTCTAAATTCGTTGCTGCATAATTTATGTCTTTGAAACTTAAACAAGTAAAACAGATAGACATGCATATAGTCTAACACTCAAAACTGAACCCTCTTATTTTACCTAACTTGAACAGCTATTACAGCAAAATCCTCCGGTTATGAAACTCACTTTTTATTTAATATCTAGTTTTGATTACAGCAAAATACTGGTTTTTATTTAATGAAAGAGTGGTCCTTTTTTGAATATGGAGTACTCCCTCCGTTTTTTTCATAGTCGTTTAAGGTTTTGCACGGGACTTAAGGAAATCATTGATATTTTAGTTTTCAAAAATATTTATTACTTACTTTCCTATTTTATCCTCTATTTTTTTTTTTGCATGTTTTAGACTGTTGAACTACTCTATTAAATAGTTGTCCCTTTTTTTGTTTTTTATAGTATTTTGTTGAAAATATATTGCTTTTATAAATGCACATTAACTTTATATGAGTAATTAGAGAAAAATTAGGTAGACATTAAAAATAAATACACACATTGTTCAAGAAACATGTATTAATTATTAAGGGTAAAAATGGAAGAAAAAAATTAATAACTCATTAATTTTAATAATATGACAATGAAAAAAAAATAACAAACTTTGACAAAACGACTATGAAAAAAAAACGGAGGAGTATCATTTTATTTTTATAAGCGTGAGTTTCATAAAAAGGACCACTTTTTCATTAAATAAAAATTAAATTAATGTCTCTCTCTTCACATTGTTGGGAATGGGAAAATGTGGTGCTAAAGTCAAATTCAACAGCTCTCTGTCTCTCACTACCTTTCGCCAGATACGCTCCACTATTCAGGTAAGCTATAATTTCTGTTTGATTTCGATATAACTTTTGTGTTAACAGTCGTCAACATTTATTTCATTTAAGAAAATTCCTGTGTTTGAACTGTTTGAGAAAATGCCCAGCTGGCAGCTCGGGACTTTTGCATTATTTGGATATACTTTTTCAGCTCTCATACATATTTCCTCAAAAGGGTTTTAAACTTTATTTCAGTAACCTTTACATGGATTGTGGATGGGTATTGCATAGTTTGTTGAATTTGGAAAACAGAAAATGAAAAACAAGTGTTATGAGCAAATGGGGCTTCATGAATTGACCCGAAAGTCCTTAATGACCAAAATCAAGGCCACTTCTATTATGTTATTAAATTCTACGAGTATTTCTTTGTGATTACTGCAATATGCTGCCTTTATATCTTAATTAGAGATAGAATTCCATGGCTAAAACCGCGCTGCACTAGAGAACTTCATTGGTGCAGATGGGATATCTTCATATGATCGAGTTTCCTGTCAGCATATAGAATTCAAAGGTTCTTAATAACATATTGCTAAGTTAAGCACCATGAGTCTGAACTTATATAATTTAATGCTGAAAGAATCTCGGCGTGGAAAATGCACATTAACAAAGTGCTTAAGAAAGAAACATTTTACCTAAGTTCTAATAAAGTTATTTAAGGCACCAAAGAGAATTGAAGAAATTAGGAAGTAAGGGGGAGCATGAAAAAAGTAACATAAAAAGAAAAACTGCCTCATAACCCTGCATTTATAAAGATATCAAGCTCTTTTCGTTTACCCGTGTTTGTTAGTTTTGTAAACACTGCTATCATTAACTACTTCATTAGTATAACAACCCTCATAATGTGTTTTATTTTGTAAACAAAAAAGTGAAGCTAAGCTTTTACAAGGTAAAAGTTAGTTTGTTTTGTTTTGGCTTTTAGAATAAAATTGACAGGAAGAATAAATATTTTGATAGTGTTTGACAGTACCACTTTCCACAAGCTCAATCATCAAAAGCAATGGCAGACAAGCACACTGACAATGATACTAAGGAGCTTCAACCACTCCTTGTGTTTGGTCCTCCATTATTGTTCCCAAATTTTGAGGCTCAAAATCTTCACAACTACCATTTTCTCAAAGCTTTCTCCTCAAAACTTCCTCTCCACCAATTCCTCGCCAAGCATAATGTTGAGCCTTCATCCATTCAAGCCATACTCTGCAACCCTTTCCAGAAGGTCTCTGCAGAGGTCATCCGGCTCCTCCCATCACTCAGCATCATTGTGACCACCAGTGCTGGAACTGACCACATAGACTTGGCTGAGTGCAGCCACCGTGGTATTCAGGTTGTCTCTGCTGCAGTAGATCACGCTGAGGATGTTGCTGACATGACTGTGGGGTTGTTGATTGATATCATGTGGAAAATTTCTGCCGCTGATCGATTTGTTAGGAAATGGGGTCATTCTATGCCCTTGAATCTTTCTTTTGGATCCAAGGTACTCCACACTCGTTTGCTTTATGTGCATGTTTTTTTTCATATATGGTGTATCTATATTGTGCAAATGTTCGTGATCTATTTCTATTTGGATGAAGATTTTTATAAGAGAAGTGTCATACACTTTGTTAACACACTTATTACTAGTTAAAATTTATTGGAAGCTATAAAATCATGAGTAGATCATAAAATAGGTAATGTGACTTGCATAATTTTGTGATTCCCACTAAATTTCGGTCAATAATAAAAAATATATTATTAGCATTTTTCTTTCAATAATTTCAACCCAAATGGTGTGTGTTGAGGGGAAGGGGTATTGTTTTGTTGATAGAGAACAATCAATATATAATTCTAAACAATCAATATGATAGTAGGAGCAATGCTATATATGTCGGAAATTCTACGTCGACTAGAGATAAGGTCATAATAATGTATATAAGTGAGGAGATTTTCACCTTACAAACCGATTTTGTAAGGTTAAATTAGACTTAAATCTACTTTTTTAACATGATATCAGAACATATCAGAATCTATATTTTAGTAATTATTGATTGTTGTTGAGTTTATTTTGCCTATATTAACATGAAAATGGTGTGTTGAAGATCTTGTATCAACTAAAAATAAGATTATAATAATGTTATATAATTGAATATAAATCCTCACTTTATAAATCAATTTTATATAGACGAATTAGGCTAAAATCCACTTTATTAAAAATATCCTTCTACTAATACTCTTACAAATCTTCCTACTTCTATATAAAAGAAATATTAAATAAAAAAGAAATTGCATTTAATGCTTACATACAAAGGAAGCAATATGATTAATAGGAATAAGTTGTAGGAGGATTTAGAATTGTTCATGACAGTAGTAACCATTAGAATTGACAATTATAACATGAAAATTCTCTGAAGCATGAACAATAACTAGCACTCAGATTTGTGTTTCAGCTAGAAGGCAAGCGAGTAGGGATTGTTGGATTGGGAAAAATTGGTGGAGAAGTTGCTAAAAGGCTTGAGGTCTTTGGTTGCACAATTATGTACAATTCAAGGAACCAGAAGCCCTTTGTGTCCTACCCTTTTTATTCTAATGTTGTTGAGCTTGCTGCTAATAGTGACATCTTTGTGGTTTCTTGCTCATTAAATGAGAAAACAAGGCACATAGTGAACAGGGAAGTGATGTTGGCGTTGGGGAAAGATGGGATTATTGTAAACATTGGACGTGGAGCTCTAATTGATGAGAAGGAATTGGTGCGGTGTTTGATGGAAGGGGAGATAGGTGGTGCTGGCTTGGATGTGTTTGAGAACGAACCTAATGTTCCCAAAGAGCTCCTTCAATTGGATAATGTTGTCCTCTCCCCACATGCTGCTTCAATGACTTCAAATGCTTTAGATATTATGCGTGAACGTGTGTCAGAGTGTCTAGAAGCATTCTTTTCTAGTAAACTAGTGAGAACTCCAGTCTTGGATGACTAAATTCACGCCAAGGGACATGTTTATCATCCTCTTTTCTTTCTCTCTCTCTGTTTGTTTGAGTGGTGTGATGGACATCCTCTTTTCTTTGTTTGAATGTTTGACTGCTGGAAACTTTTGTATTTCTATAAGTTAAATATTCTTTTATGCTATTGATATTGCTAAAGACTATTTGGTAATATTAGTATTTTAATTAATTATACTGTATTTATATTGTATTGCTTTGAGTTGGTAAAATTACTGGCACATGCACACCAACAAGAAGTTAAAACTTGCACGTATGAAATAAATAAGTCAGAAAATAACCTGAAAGTAACAGGTTGATAACAATGTGATGCAACCAAGACAGAATGAAAATCATGTAAAATATCATTTATTTCATATCACTACACCAGTGAACATTGTAGGGAGTAACAATGAGTGCACAAGACACATCTATTAACTAGTGGCTAAAATATAACTTTGTTCCTTATTATTATTATTATTTTTTAATTTCAGCTTCGTTAAATTTAAAATATAACAAATATTAATGGTTAGTTATTAGTGGTTAATGGAAGAATTTCAACTCATACCTTTCTTATCACTCCAATCATATATCCCCTCACCCAAATCACTCGGATCACCTTTTCACTTCCTAATATCTTTCAATTCTAATTATTTATGTATGGTTATATTTTCTAGGTTCCTTTCATTATAATCCTTTTCACATGATACATCCTAGGGGGCATATTAAGTGAGAAGAGTGTTTGTATTTAGGGTTGAACAAAAATAATTGGCCTGCCTGAATTGAAACCAAGAAAACCAAAGTTCAATTTAGTTGGAACAAATCACAAACAGTGAAATGGATTGATACAATTGAATGTGGGTTAAATTTTTGTCCACTTAACTAATTCTGGCCCAACCGATTGTTGTACCCATTACCTTTTTATTTTTTTATTTTTTATTTTTTATTTTTTATAATTATTTTGTACAAAGTAGACTACGCATGGCCCTGCTGCACAACATGCACCTTCCTACTAAAATTCACAAACTCTAATATTCTATTATTTCATACGGGCTTAAATATATTTTTATTCGTGTAACATACCGTAACTTTTTTATTTTAGTTTTTATAAAATAATTTTTTAAAATGTAAAATTTCACTTCTTATTTTTTTTATTTTTTATTTT